CCACCCCTAAATGCACCATCTACACAGTATTCCTTGGGACTCGGCTATTAACAGCACCATCATCATGCTGGACTGGCCTCTAAGGCACCTTCCAATTCTAAATCTATGATCATGTCTAAGGTTAGATATTGCGTGTAACTTCACCTACGGGTTGGAGAGGCGTTACTAAAAACAAAAAAATTAAGGGCGGTGGGGAGTAGGGTAAAGAGATATAGTTTTACCCAGTTACGGCCAAAGCCCGAAGGCAGGTAAGACACACGTTAGCCCAAACTCCTTCCAGAACTCACCACCCACAAAAGCGGGAGCCGCGGCTGGTCGAGGTACTCCCTCGCCCCCATCCACACCCCAGCATCAGCCCCGGGGGAGAGGGTCGGGCCGCCGCCCTCCTGCTCCTCCAGCTCCCCGAGGACCCAAGGGGGAGGGGCGCTCGTTAGCGGATAAAGGGGGAGGGTGGGGAGAGGAAGGAGAAAAGGAGTGGGAGCTCAGAGGCGCGACATCCCCTCCCATACACCCCAAAGGGATGGGGTCCCTTTGCCGGTTAACCCGGGAAGCTTCGGGGTCAAATGCGGCTTCCGAACGGCCCCGGGAAGAAGAAGGGCAGGGCAGACAGAGAGGGTCCAAGGAGCTGCTGTCGGGCCCAGGGAGGAGCCCCCTCAGGCCTCGCCCCCGCCACTGACTCCCCACCCTCAGGCGGACACCCGCCATCCGCGGCCGCAGCGGCCGCGGCGGGTCGGGACCGGCACAGCCCCGGCCAGCCCTTCCCGAACGCGCGGGAGGCAGCCAGGGAGAGCCGAGAAGAGGGAGGAGGCGTTACCATGAACAGCTCCGGGAGCTGGCAGGGCTGGGTGGAAGGAGCCGACACCGGCTCGGGCTCCGGTTCTGACTTCGGCTCGGGCTCGAGCTCGGGCTCCGGCTCCGAGGCGGCAGCGACGGCCGCGTCCTTTATTTTTGCTGCAGCGGCGACTTGTCAAAGAGAAAGACGTAAGAAGCGGCGGGCGAGTCTCGCGGGACTTGGACGGAACTCTCGCGCAGCCTGGAACCCTATCTCACCTCCTCTCTCCCATCCCCCCAACCCCAGCCCTTCGGGTCCAGATGGGGAGGGGAGGGAAAGAGGTGGAGGCCTAGGGAAGAGGCAGGAGGTAGAAGGGTGAATGGAAACGTAATTAATTGGAAAGAGGAGGAGGAGGAGGGAAAAAACAGAACGCCAAGTTCACACTGCATGCCTAACCCACCCACCTTGTTCTTTGTCTTCCTTTGGGAAGCTGCTTGTATCAGCACACTCCATCTGCCTTCAAGGAGACCTCGTCTCACTTTTCCTAACTCTCCAAGAAAAATATTGCATCCTAGCGCCCCCCCCCCCCCGTAAGTCACAATTGCCTTAAAGTTTCATAGTTATGGATATTACAATGTACCAAATGAATAGTTATTCCCGTTTAACCATCATGGGCAGCAAATCACCTTCTGTCTCCAAATCTTTAATGGGGGGGGGAATCATGTCACCCACTTTACTAGATTGTAACTGGACAAGGGAACACTGCTAGACTGAGATCACTAACCCCAGCGCAATGCTTCAGACTAAACCAAGAGCACACGTGTTTTGCTCTCTAGCAGAAAAAAGTTGACAACTGGCCAGAAATGTCGGGAGCCACACCTCTTTATCGCAAACATGCACACACCGCCTTTTGAACTCTCTATCTGCCTTCTCACAGGGCTAAAAACCAGTGGTTGGTCAAGTTCAACAACATTCAAGCGTTTCAGTTGACCTACTTCTATCTGGTCACGCTGTCGTCGGCAAAAGGAAGACAGAACCTAACGAACAGGGCCTGCCCCTTCTCGGAATTCTTTTCTATTACAGAGTACTTATCAAATTACTATTTAAAGGACTTGCTCGAATGTTGCTTCCACTTTCCTTTCTGTTCACTTCTTTTTTCCAATCAACAAGCACTATATCTGTCATTCCATTCTTTCATTCAAGAAATATTTTTGACCATTTTATTATGCACTGAGCCCATGAGTGAGACATGCAAAGTAATGAAAGGTAGATCATCAACATCCAGAGGCTTGAAATCCAATAGTAATAATAGCTTATATTTATGTGACACCTTAAGGTTTACAAAGCATTTTCACGAAATCAGAGTTGTAAGGCCAACAACTATAGTAAAAAATACTATATTAAGCAAATTGTACAGATAGTGTATGCCACAGAGGTTCAAAAGGACAGAGACCTATTAGAAAGTTTATGTGTATATCTGGATCACTTTATATTTTTTATATATATTTCATGTATATTTATATATCCTTTATATATTTATATAGTATTTTATATTATGTTTACATTTCATATATCATTAATATCTTTGCATGTACCTCATTACTTTGTGATTAAGATAATATGATGGGGGGAACAGCTAAGTGGTGAAGTAGGTAGAGTACCAGGCCTAGTGTCAAGAAGACTTATTATCTTCCTGAGTTCAAATCTGGCCTCACTTACTAGCTGTATGACCCTGGGCAAGTCACTTAACCCTGTTGACTTCAGTTTCCTCATCCATAAAATGACTTGGAGAAGGAAATGGCAAAGTACTCCAGTATCTTTGCCAAGAAAACCCCAAATGGGGTCAGGAAGAGTCAGACACTACTGAGAAAACAACTGAACAAAAATAGAGAGCAGGGACAGGAAGGACAGGAAAAGTAAGACCATTAAGCCAAGTCCCATCATTATCTATATAATTTGGTAAGTGGTTGGTAACTCAATTCATTCATTAAACATTCAGTAAGCATTTGCTTACAAAATGTTTACTACTTAGAGGCACTGCATTGAGCTCTAACACACTACCCTTACAATAATTCATTTCATTGTAATTTTTCTTGAATTTGTAAGCTACAATGTCTGTTCTCCTTGGAGTAAAGGTAAGGTATCCATCCCTTTGGATAAACCTAAATACAGATTTATCCAAAAAAGCAGATTAATTTTTCTTCTTCCAACCCAATTTGGAGGGAAAGGAAGTAAACAAATCAAATAGTACTATATACTTGGTAAATACAGTTAGCATCAAGAATCCCCTTCCCTTTTCCACAATCTCCTGGGTCTCTCCCTCTCTCTCCCCATGCTACTACTATTGTCATTTTAACAAGATTTCAACTTTTTAAAAAATATTAGTAGTTGCCTCAGGCTTTCCTAGGGTTCAACAATTTCTCATTTGAACAGACATTTTATTAAGTGCCTATTATGTGCAAGTCACTGTTAGGAGCTTGAGATACAAAGACACACACATACACAAAGTTTCTTTACTCAAGGAATTTACATTCTGCTGGGTTTTGTGATGTGTGGTAAGTAGAAGATTATTTGAGAAAGGAGAAAGCATCAATAACAAGGGAGAATCAGGAAAGGCTTAATAGCAGTAGCATCTGAACTGAACTTTAAAGGAAGCTAAGGATTCCAAAAGGTGGAGGTAACAATTACAGGCATGATGGATAGATAGCTTGTGTAAAGGTAGGATGATGGGAGATATAATACTCCCAGTGACAAAGATTTCCATCTGCTACCCATCTCCAACCTCTAATTACAATTTTGCACAAATTGGACATAGTCCATTATCATACATCACTTCTCCTATTCTGTCCCATATATTCTATGCTTCTATATACCTTATCAGGAAAACACCAAGCAGATGAAAAATCAACAAGTGATGTAGTTTTTTTTTTTTCTTTTTTTTTCTGAACGTAGGAAATAAGGTCAGGTCAGAGATAAAGATGTGAAAAGAACCTAGAAAGGCCTAAGGCAGTTTATGTTGGGGGGGGGGGACATAACAATGCAGAGCTATAAAGGGAAGCACATTCGTGTACAGGGGAAAGGACCCCTCTGCTTAATGAGTCTTGTCAGAAGAAATGAGCACAACTGTATGTTTCAAATATACATGCATGCAATACATTAAATCATGACATAAATGAATTTCATGAAGATTCACAAATAGCTCCAACAAATTGGTCAGCCGAGATTTGAGGCACAAAAGTAGATTTCTATACAAGGAGGAGAATAGGGGACTGGTGACATTTGAACCTCCCTCTCATCTAAAGTACCCAAAGAGAGAAGAATACACAGACACAGAGCTAGTTACAGAAATACTTTTTCAACCAAGAGGGAAACAGGAGAAAAGGGGGTTAAGAGAATGGTAGGGAGTAAGAGGGAGGGAATAAAGGAGGGATTAGTCAGAAGCAAAACAAACTATTAAAGAAGGGCAGGGAGAAAAAAGTAATTTTTAAGATATATAGGGAATTGAGTCAAATTATTAAGATTAAGAGCCATTCCACAATTGACAAATAGCCAAAGGATATGACTAGGCAATTTTTAGAAGAAGAAATCCAAGCTATGGATAGCCATACAAAAATGCTCTAGATCACTGATGATTTGGAGAATTGCAAATTAAACAACCCTGAAGTACCAATGCACACCTATCTGACTGGCAAAATTGACAGAAAGGGAAAATGACAAATTCTGGAGGGGCTGTGGGAAAATAGGTAGATTAAAGCATTTTTGGTGGAACAGTAAACTGGTTCAACCATTCTAGAAAGCAATTTAGAATCATGCCCCAAAGCTATTAAACTGTGCCATACCCTTTGACCTAGCAAAACCACTATACCTCCAAGTATGTATGTATGTATGCACACATACATACCTGTTGTTGTTTAGTCATTTTTCAGTCCTGTCTTACTCTTCCTGACCCCTTTTGGGGTTTTCTTGTCAAAGATACTGGAGTGCTTTGCCATTTCCTTCTCCAGCTCATTTTACAGATGAGGAAACTGAGGTAAACAGGGTTAAGTGATTTGCCCAGGGTCACACAGCTAGTAAGTGTCTGAGGCCAAATTTGAACTCAGGAAGGTGAATCTTCCTAACACCAAGTCTGTTGCTCTATCTAATGCACCAGCTAGATTATACACATGCAGTCATACAAAACGTTTCCATATTATCCGTGTTGTAAAAGAAAATGCAGACCCCCCCAAAAAACCCCAAGAATAATAAAGTTTAAAAAATGTGCACCAATATGCATTCAGATTCCATTAAGTTCTTTCTCTGGATAGCATTTTTCATCATAAGTCCTCCAGAACTGTCTTAGATCTCAATTACATTTAAATCTTGTTTTGTCCTACTCTGGGAATATTGTGGCCTCTATGCAGGCCTCTTGTTTGATATCTCTGCTTTAGGAAACTAAGATGATTAGTTATAGAGAAGGTGTCAGCTAGCATTAGTGGTGTTTCCTCATCAGAGCTCCCTATGCCAAAGAAATCACAGTTTCCATTCCTGTTTACAATATATATGCATGTGTATATGTATATAAACATCTAACATATACATGTAATATATATATAATATGTGTGTATTTGTGTGTGCATATATATACACATACAAACATATACACATTGTAAAATGAAGGGATGGAGTAGATGACCTCTAAGGTCTCTTTTGGCTTGAAATCCATGACTTCGACACACACATGTAGGAACTCCCTCCACAAAGGCAGATTTCAGCCCTCTGTGACTTAAAGTGCAAAATCCTACAAAGCTAAACCTGAAGCACATAGAGGGTAAGAGACTTCTCCAAGATCACAAAGCTACTAAGTTTTATGTGAATTTAGTATTTTATTTTTCCCCAATTACGTGTAAAAACAATTTTCAACACAGGTTTTTAAAATGGCATTCCAAATTCTCTCCCTCCCTCTCCACCCCCATCACTGAGAAGGCAAGCAATTTGACAGAGGTTACACATTTGCTACTAATTTTTAAAAGTGGTATTTGAACCCACGTCTTCCCAACACTTGGTCCAGCACTTTATTTGTTACTACTAGACTTGCTCTCATAATATACTAAAAGTATCCAAGTGTATGCCAAGTGCAAA